GGAACTAGGAATGTTCGATATTTAAGAAAGAATCGATATCATGAATCCATTTAATTAATTTCCATAGTCAAAAAATCCCCAAATAGTCCAAAAAACCCGAAGTGGTCCCGAAGATTCCAAAAATCCCGAAGAAGTCTGGAAAATCACGGATTAGTCACGAGGATCCCGAAAATTCCAAAGTAGTCTCAAAAATGCCGAAATAGTCCAAAAGTCCCGAAGTATTCCCGAATATTTCGATAATCCTGAAGAAGTCTCGAAAATCCGGAAATAGTCCAAAAATCTCGAAGTAGTCCCGAAGATTCCGAAAATCCCGACGAAGTCTCGAAAATTCTGAATTAGTTCGGGGGATCCCGAAAATCCCAAAGTAGTCTCGAAAATCCCGAAAGAGTCCAAAAATCCCGAAACAGTCCGAAAATCCCAGATAGATAGATAGATAGATAGTTGGTTGGGTAATGCACTGCGACCACTGGGTCTATTGTGCCCCTAGCTCATCACAACTCCTCAGCCAGCCCCAGAGTTTCTAAAAACTTTATAATGGACCCCGGGGACAGTGAGTGTATGTGCTCCTCTCTTGGCCAGACGTACCCTATGCTCCTGAGCCTCCTGCGTGCCACGGCCTCACACTCTACAAGAATGTGTAGGGGAGTTTCCCTGGCGGCATCGCAGAAGCGGCACAGGTCGCTGGACTAGATACCTAGTTTATACATGTGCCCTCTTAGCCTACAGTGGCCGGTCAAAAATCCTGTAATTACCCTCAGTTTGTCCTTTGGAAAATTCGTGAGTAGCCTGTATCTTGTCAGATTGTAACCTCCTAATAAGCTTTTCGCCTGACGTTGACCCATGGTGTCACGCCAATGCAGTTCCTTCAGTTTTCTAATGTCCCTTCTGAGCATATCCTTTATGGTACTTGGTCCCACTGCCAGAAAGCGCTCAGGTCCTATCGGGGCCGAGGAAGCAGCTAATCTGGCCAGGTGACCAGCCTCCTCATTTCCTGCCACCCCCATATGCCCTGGTACCCACATTAGTTGGATATCATTGACCTCCGCCAGAGTATTAAGCCTCTCGACACATTCCAAAACCAAGGAGGACTTGATCTCGAATGATGAGAGAGCCATAAGTGCCGCCTGACTATCACTTAGTATAAGTATCTTTCATTCCTATAATTCCTACTCATGTTGATCTCAGCGCACACACTGATGGCATAGACCTCCGGTTGAAAGATGCTTGGGAAGGTTCCCAGGGGCACCGAAAGCTTCAGCCTGGGGCCGTACACGCCTGCCCCAATCCCCGCAGGTGTTTTGGAGCCGTCAGTATACCACTGTATTGTGCACGCCTGTATGTGCCTTTCCATAATAGAGGCACACCAGGTCACCTTGCTGTAAGTGTAAGTCCTGAAATTCCTTTTGAAGATAACCTGTCTGTTGATATCGTCTCTGGGGAAAAGAGCCAGGGGGAGCTGGGTACCTAGCTTGTCCCTGTTCCTAGATGATAACACCTTGCCTTTGCCGAAGCCCTCCCTAGCAAAGTTGAGGAGGGTTCGCTTTGCAACCTGTTCAACTAAGAGGTGCAGTGGCTCGAGTTCCAGCATTACCTCTAGCGCTGCCGTCGGGCATGTGCGCATTGCTCCCGTAATGCACACACATGCCAAACGTTGAAGCTTAGAGAGGGTCTGCCTCACCGTTACTAAAGTAGTCCTGGAATGCCAAGCCACCGCACCGTACGTTACTATAGGTCTCACTATCATGGTGTACAACCATCTGAGGATCCTCGGAGTGCACCCCCAGGATTTTCCCGCCAGACGTTTGCACACCATAATCGCCCTGGTGGCCTTGGAGGTGACCGCATCAACATGGGTCTTCCACATAAGCTTGGAGTCCAGGGTAAGCCCCAGATACTTAACCTCTGTGGCGACATTGATTGCGACCCCGTCCAGGGTCAGGTTCCTCATCCCCTGAAGATTTCTTTTCTTGGTGAAGGGGACTATAGCTGTCTTGGAGGGATTGATATTTAAGCCTACATCTGCGCACCACCTTTTTGCAAGGTTAAGACCTGTTTGGACGATGTCACAGAGAGTACTAGCGAACTTCCCTCTAGCAATAATCACTATGTCGTCCGCATACCCTTGGCATCGAACGCCCTCGTTAGTGAGTAGCTGTAGGAGTTCGTCCACAACTAAGCTCCACAGTAGAGGAGATAATACTCCCCCTTGCGGGCACCCTTTTGTTGTTTGTATTTGAACAACGCTGTCACCGACTTCAGTTTCGGCTATCCTGGTCTGCAGTAACCTTGCTATCCAACGCCGGATGGTTGGCTGGACGTTATATTTCTCAAGAGCTCTATCAACTCCCGAATGGGAGGCATTATCAAAGGCCCCCTCGATATCGAGGAAGGCACAGAGCACCACCTCATCACACTCAAAGGCCCCTTGTATTTCCTCCGTTAAGGCATACAGCGCAGTGTCCGTGGATCTACCCACCCTGTACGCGTGCTGGTTGGAATGCAGAGGGGTCTGTTTCAGAGTGTTAAACCTGATCTCATGGTCAATAATTTTCTCCATTGCCTTCAACATAAATGATGTGAGACTTATCGGCCTGAATGACTTGGCAAGAGAGTAATCTCTCTTACCTACCTTCGGGATAAAAATAACCCTGGCCCTTTGCCACACCTTGGGAATGTGGGCCAGCGCTAGACTGTCCCTCATAACATCTACAAGATGTGGGAGTAAGAGCTCTCCACCCTGCTTCAGCAACACTGGACATATACCATCCACCCCAGGGGACTTGTACCGTTCGAAGGAGTCCAAAGCCCACCGCACCGTTTGCCGGTTTATAAGGCTCTTAGCCAGCTTCCAGTCCGGTGGGGATGGCCTGTACGCACGGAACATAGCTTCCCCAGTGGTGGGAATGGCGTCCGGAAAGTGGGCCGACAACAGGGCGAGTGCCCTTTCCTGTTCCGTACCTGAGAAGGTCCCATTAGGTAGCCTTATTGCCAGTCTCGTGCCTGTGTTGTCCCTTGCCAAAGCTTTATGAAGCCTAGCAGCTACAGGAGTGGATGCAATGTTTTCACAAAAGGTCCTGAAGCTGCTACGCTTGGCCTTCCTGATCTCCTTATTGTACTTTGTCAGACTGACTGAGTATTCCTCCCAGTTCCCGGTGCGCTTTGCCCTGTTAAACAGTCTGCGAACCTCTTTCCTAAGAACCGAGAGTTCCCGTGACCACCAGGGAGGCTGAGCCTTCCCTTTCGGCTTTGACACGGGACAGCTGGACGTAAAGGCATCTAATATTGTGCCGTTCAGCTTATTAACCCTGTCCTCTAGCGCCATACAATCTACCTTTCTTCCCTGTACCTCTATTCTTGGTAGGTTCAGTCTAAGTACCTCTTCATATTTGGCCCAGTCAGTTCTCCTGGGGTTTCTCTTATGGTAACCTGTCTGACAAGCAGCTCCCAGTGCAAACCGGACAATCCTGTGGTCCGACAGTGAAGGCTCAGATGAGACTTTCCACTGGCCGATCAGAGGACTGGCCAGTCTGTTGCTGATCGTGATGTCAAGAACTTCCTCTCTAACCCTAGTAATGAACGTTGGTTCATTGCCGACATTGTGAATGCTCAGGTCTGCACTTATGATATATTCTAAAAGGCACTCACCCCTACGGTTAGTGTCCGAGCTGCCCCACTCCATATTGTGGGCGTTTGCATCGCAGCCTAGAATGACAGGAAGTCTTTTCCTGCGGCAGGATTCCAGGAGCTGCTGTACCTCAAGGGGCGGCACGTTGGCGTTGTCCCCCGGAAAATAGGCTGCAGCCAAGACCACCTCCAACTCCCTGCCATCAACCATCAAGGTAGTCTGGACTGCTACCAGGTCCTGTGTTAGAAACTCTGTAATGCAGAAATAGTTAATATCATTTTTCAGCACTACACACGCTCTGGGCCTCTCGCAGGAGAGGTCCCAAATTACCTTATTGTTGTTGTGGTTAAGACCCCTCACCTGGCCTCTGTAGGTCCACGGTTCCTGTATTATCAGTATACCCAGGTCTTCCGTGGCAAACCTGCTCGCAATGACCGCCGAGGCGGCCACCGCGTGATGCAGATTGACCTGGGCTACCTCTACTGCTGGTGTCTTCATAATTGGGGCTCGTCCTCGATATCCGAGAGCCGCGCGTCGCCCTCGCTTCCTCTATCGAGTTCGAGCCTGCCAATGTCAGCTAGGAGCTCCTGTGTGGTGCGCACGTAGTCGAGGCCTTTTGGCCCGGAACTCACCGGAGCTGGTACCTGTGCAGGATCTGTTGACTGGTTGGCTGGTGCCAGTGCCTGTTCTGACAGCGGGTTGGCTGGTGGGGCCGTGGTCGACTCTGTCTCTGGGGCCTCAGTGGAGTCAGTTGCCGCGTCAACACACATGTCTTGCGACTCTGACTCCTTGCTGCCTGTCGTCTTTTGTCGCCACGGCCTCACCGAGACGTAGCTGTACCGGAAATTTATGTGGAATCCGGCCCTCTTTATACTGACGTACGACGCCTCGTCGATGCCCAGGTTGAGCCTGAGCCCGTTGTCCTCAGCGTCGCACGACACCACCTTCCACGCAGCCGTGTGGACACCCTCGTTCTGGGCCTGAATAAGCCCCAGCACGTACTCAGCCGATTTCTCGGCGCATCTAGGGAAGAACACCGAGATCGTGTGCACCGGCGGGATGTCCTCCCCCCTTTTAGTGCATAGCTCGGGTCCCTTCCACCCTTCAATAGCCGGTGCCTTTTCTGCCAGCCAGGCTGCAGTCCGCTCATCCTTGCAGTCCACAAGGAGCATGCCTGATCTGAAGAACACCCCACAGAACACCAGAGGGTGCCTCCACCCTTTTAGGACCTCGTCCATAATCACATCCTGGAGTCTGGTTAGGTCCTCCGGGCATAGAGCAGCTGCAGGGTAGTCACAGGGCAGCACAGCCACCCGGATGCCTTTGAGAGCATCAGAGTAGCTGGGCTGCTGAGTGGTCCCTTCCAGCGGCTGACCTTGGCCCGCAGACCCTTCCAGGCCACTAGACTCTGTCGGAGGGGGTGTAGGCCCCCGCTGTCGCTTGGGGGTCGGTGGCTCCGGTGGTGTAACCTGTACGCTGGTTCGCTTTGCTGGACCTGTGGAAGTAGCTGATGGGTTACCTATGGGTTCCCCGCCTCTCCGCCAATAGGCGGGCGCGGGTCTCTGCTGCTGTTGCCCGCCTCTCTGCTTTACAGCAGGCGCGGGTCTCTGTTGCTGTTGCCCGCCTCTCTGCTTTTCAGCAGGCGCGGGTATCTGTTGCTGTTGCCCGCCTCTCTGCTTATCAGCAGGCGCGGGTTGTTCACCTGAGTTGCTGCCATGCTGCCTAGCAGCGGTAGCAGCCCTATTGCCTCTGCGCTTGCGCTCTTCGCGCTCACGTTCCTCGAGCTCCACCTCCTGCCGTACCTCCGCCATAGCGCGGGCTTCATCAGCTGATTTCCCCTGCCGAAGGTACCGAAGATACCACTTGACTCCCGACCCACCAAGGCCAGCTCGATGGTGGTCGTCAAGGGCTCCCGGTTGACCGGAGGGGGGTAGTGGAGGAGGTCTGCACCTGCGACTTCGTTTCTTACTCTCCTGTACATGCCACCCTGAACCTTGTGAAGCTGTGAAGGTCCGACTGGGAGACCTACGGTGCCTACTTCCGGAACGGTGCCTGCTGCTGGAGCGATGTCTGCTCTCCGAGCGACGCCGGCCCCTGGACCGGCAACGACTCTCGGAGCGGTCACGACTCCTGGAGCGACGCCGACCTTCAATCCGCTGCCTGCTAGCAGAGCGATGCCTGTTTTTCGGGAGTGATGCATCTGCTCCCTTGAGGCCTTCCGAAAGGCGCTGCGCCTGATCCACGCCGCCCCTGCTGGTGCTTGGCTTCTTTTCGTCCCTGGCGTGTTCAATGAAGGGGGCAGCCTCTTCTTCAGTCAGGCTCTCAAGGAAGCTACCCCTGCGCCTGGTGCCTTTACCCCCGCCCAGCATGTTACTGCCGTGCGTGGCCGTTGCTGTTCTTTGCGCTGTTGCTGCTGTGTCCGCAGCAGTTGCTGTTGCTGTAGTTGTTGCTGTTAACGCTGTTGCTGCTGTTGCAGCACTAGTTGCAGCTGTGGCTGTAGCTGACGTTGTAGCTGTCGCTGTCGCTGTTTTTGCGCTTGCTTTGCTGTTTTTTGCTGTTGTTGTTTTTGTTGTTTTCGTTGCTTTTATTTGTTTAGTTATAATCATCTTGTTCGTACGACTGCCTGCTCGAAGATGCANCGCTGTTTTTGCGCTTGCTTTGCTGTTTTTTGCTGTTGTTGTTTTTGTTGTTTTCGTTGCTTTTATTTGTTTAGTTATAATCATCTTGTTCGTACGACTGCCTGCTCGAAGAGGCAAGCTCAGCAGTCAATTTTGTTGAAGGGGATCTTATCTGGTCCGCCGCGCCAGCGCCCCATGTCGCGGTAAGGCCACCGTTACTCCTCGATGCGACCCGGTGTCGAAGAGGAGCCGTTATACTACTNTTATTTGTTTAGTTATAATCATCTTGTTCGTACGACTGCCTGCTCGAAGAGGCAAGCTCAGCAGTCAATTTTGTTGAAGGGGATCTTATCTGGTCCGCTGCGCCAGCGCCCCATGTCGCGGTAAGGCCACCGTTACTCCTCGATGCGACCCGGTGTCGAAGAGGAGCCGTTATACTACAGCCGGTTTATACCCTCCTGGCTGCAAACCGTCCAATAGGCACGGTGTCGCCTCACACCCTGGATTAGGAGGTGGCAGTTCTTGGTCACCGTTCGCCGGCAGCCCAAGTCTGGAGAAAAGGCAGCGCAGAAGCGACGAGCGCGTCAGCGATGCCCCAGACCAGAAAGGGACTGGTCGGCGATTCAGCTAAGCCCCCGCACCAACGGCAAGGTGCCTGCCCTAGCGAGGGCCGAAAATCCCAAAGTAGTCCCGAGGATTCCGAAAATCCTCAAGAAGTCTCGAAAATTCCGAATCAGTACCAAAAATCAAAAAGATTTTCGTAGAACTGAAAGTTGGAAGATACTTGAATATCTTATTTGCGTTGCATCACAAAAGTATTATTTAGTTGAAAAAATACAAATAAAATTGATTCGCTCTACAAATCAAATCAAAATTTTTTATTTCTTATTTGGTTGACAAATCCAATCACAAATAAATTTTATTTTTTATTTGGTCAACAAACCAAAAAACAGATCAAATATATTTCGTAATTTATAGCGGATTTTAAATCAATAGGGATTTAAAAGCACGCAACCCTGCCACCGCATGGCCATGACGTTGACGTTGCTTATATCTCCCTCTATCTCTATCAACAGCAAATTTGATATGTTTCTACGCACTTCTACGGTACCCTGCGTACATGTTCGTGGGCAACCGCGCTCTAACATTTATTTTTCCTCTTCCAGCGATAAGTGTCCGTGTCCAACAGCAACGGTAAAAGATATGCATATAACCCTTTCCCATTGAGAGGAGCACACATCTACAAAAAATAAACCACCTGTTTTGTTTTGTGGGTTATTTTTTCTCTTAAATAGGGACGGTTATTTTGGGACACTTTCAAAGTGTTGAGGGATATTTTCGACCTCTGGCTACCAACAAGAATGATAGAATACAAGATTGCGCCGATCAGAGAGGATTTTTGAGAATACCTTTTGTGTGATCACACTGGTGCAATTGCGAGAGATAAATGCCAAAACGTGAGCAAGAATGGAAGAAGAAGAAAAAATGTTGCAAGGAAAACGTAAACAAGTTACACAAGTGTGACGTCATGCAAACAACGATTCTGTCAAATTCGTTAAGAGAGGAATAGCGGTCCGAATTTGACAGAATCGTTGTTTGCATGACGTCGCTCAAACGCCTAAAGTTTTCCATGTATTTTATATGGGGAAAAAACAACTTTTCGTAGTAATGGTATAGAATTCTTAAAAAACAATATTTTTCTATCGGAAAACTCAGCTCCGTGAAGATGGCAGCCGACCTTGATGCATTTTGATAAAATACCTAGAATATGGCAGATTTAACTCTCTGGAGGATTGTAGTAAGTTTCTTTTTATTTGTAGTTGATAAATAAGTGCGTAATGCGTTTTTTTTTAATTCATATGAAGCTTTTTACAGCTACAGCTTCAGTTTTAATGAATACAAGTCCAGAATCGTTTGTAGTTAATTGTAGTTTTAAAATTTTTTTTTTAGTTGAAAAATAAGTGCGCAATGCGTTTTTTAAAAAATTAATATGAAGCTTTTTACAGCTACAGCTTCAGTTTTAATGAATACAAGTCCAGAATCGTTTGTAGTTAATTGTAGTTTTAAAATTTTTTTTTTAGTTGAAAAATAAGTGCCGTTGCGGGTTTTTTTTTAAATTTATATGAAGCTTTTTACAGCTACAGCTTCAGTTTTAATGAATACAAGTCCAGAATCGTTTGTAGTTAATTGTAGTTTTAAAATTTTTTTTTTAGTTGAAAAATAAGTGCGTAATGGGTTTTTTTTTTAACCGACTTCCAAAAAAGGAGGGGGTTTTCAGTTCGTCGGAATTTTTTTTTTTTTTTTAATTTAATTTAATTTTTTTTATGTATGTTACCGCATAGCTTTGGACCACGTCAACCGATTTCGATTGTTTTTGCATCCTAAAGGTAGTGTCCCATAGGTGGTCCCATACTAATCTGGTTAAGATCCGATCAGTGGATCATGAGATATATATATATATTTTTTTATATGAGAGTTGAAGTCGGTTTTTTTTTGCTAAAAATTACTTGTTAATTTATATGAAGCTCTTTACAGCTACAGCTTCAATTTTAATGAATTCTGGTCCAGAATTGTTTGTAGTTGATTGTAGTTTTAATTTTTTTTTTAGTTGAAAAATAAGTGCGTAATGCGTTTTTTAAAATATTTATATGAAGCTTTTTACAGCTACAGCTTCAATTTTAATAAATTCTGTTCCAAAATCGTTTGTAGTTGATTGTAGTTTTAATTTTTTTTTTTAGTTGAAAAATAAGTGCGTAATGCGTTTTTTAAAAAAAATTTATTGAAGCTTTTTACAGCTACAGCTTCAATTTTAATAAATTCTGGTCCAGAATCGTTTGTAGTTGCATTGTAGCTTTAAAATTTTTTTTTAGTTAAAAATAAGTGCGTAATGCGTTCTTTTTTTTAATTCATATGAAGCTTTTTACAGCCTACAGCTTCAAATTTTAATGAATTCTGGTCATATAAATTAAAAAAAAAAACGCGCTACGCACTTATTTTTCAACTAAAAAAAAATTTTAAAACTACAATCAACTACAAACGATTCTGGACCAGAATTCATTAAAATTGAAGCTGCAGCTGTAAAAAGC